AATACGCCATCAAAAAGGGTTTGTGTAACTGACGGTGAGTATATGAATTTTTCGATCATGCTTGTCTCACCCACCAACAAGTTGTCTTCAATCATTCAAGGGCGGGAAATAGACAAAAGATTTATTATTATATTTTTATATAAAATATCATGAAGTTCAGACAGTCTGCAGCTCCATCATGAAGGGACTCGCTTTGGGCAAAGCCACTTAGGGGTAAGTAAAACAAGACGCAGAGTGCGCCATTGAGAATTTTGCGCCAGAAACGCAATGCTGCAGAACGCAACGAGTATCAATACGACTATCGTCGGGCTTACATTATACCAAGGTCCTCCATATAATCCCAGCAGACATCACCACCCGTATACCTCCATCGACCAGAACCACAAAATGTGTCAAAACAAGAGCACACCCGCATATCCATCACAAGACGCAATACCGCACGAAGCAGTAAGCCTCAATGCAAGTATCATACGAACGTCTCCCCTTCACAATGCACCCACATGATCCCTATCGAATTTGGCATCAAAATTGGTACTGTTTTTAGCTAAAAATAGCACCAACCTATCGTAGTATCACGCTACTAAGACGTCAGTAGCCAAAATCCACATATTGCAATAAGACGTGGAGTTGAGTATACTTGTTAAAAGTGCTACCAAACACACTCCTCATAATCGAAAAGATAGCCAACGGATCATTGTTATGCGCTAATACGCCGCCCATAAACGGTAGCTAGGTGCAATGTTCGTGGGAAGTCGTATTGTTACATCAAACCCGCTTACCACATACTACACAGATATATATATCCGTTAACGAGTCCCAGTTTACCTCGGTCCCGGACACTGTGAAGCAGTCTACACGCCACTATAATACATACTCGTAATAATGTCCTCCAGACCGAATTTCGACCACGGCAGCCTGCCTCAACGGAGGCTAGCCATCGGTGCAGGACAGGATTATAGTGCCCAAGTGTATGCGCAAGCACAGGTGCACTCTCTATTCCCTCACTCTCATAATCCAATGGGACGGTAAACCGACACGACCGGAGAGAGATCAGGCTCAGGACCAACGGCTTTACGTGCTTTCCGAGGCACGGGGGTGAGACACCGCCAACTTCCTGACTCCGGGCAGTTACTGAGAATTTCTTGACGGAAAACCCAATAATTGATTTTTGACCCAACCCGGGATCGAACCCAGGACCTCATGATCAGCAGTTGTACAACTACAACCACTAGACCAACGAGGCAGTGCAATAATACATATAATACAGTTGACCCGCAGTAATCCGACAAACGTTTGCAAGGCGATGACGGATTATCGAATTTGTCGGACTATAGAGTACTGCCACAGCCCCCTGGTAGTCCGGAACTTTTTGAGAAAGAGTACCTTGTAATGTGATAGATTACATATAAAATATAATATAAAATAAAAAAATATCATGTGATGCACAATGAATACCTAAACGGTAAATAATGAAAGCCCGTAGGCTACCCTAGTTATTTGACTGAGACAATACGCATCAAGCTAGATTCGTGGTGACGCGAACTAATTTGTTTGTCCACGTATTAGCGAAAGACTCTTCTCCCCCTGGCGGATACATAGCGTGACTCGAATCTACCCACAAATTAAAGACATGTCGGATTACAAGGGGGAAATCTATATATATGGCAACACTGAGTGACAGTGAGGAAGTGAGAACATTTGACGCTGAAATTCTGAAGGGTCTGGAAACAATTCAGAGCAACGAAGATGATGACGAACAGAAATTCCCGATGAAGATGACGATGAAGAAGAAAATTAATACTTTTGCTCTTTAAATTATTAAAGATTTGTAGATTTTCACTGCGATTCAATTTAATTCGTCAGAAATGTTCAGCTGCTGAATAAGGATAAAATTAAAATATATTAACTCGTTTCACTTCCTTTAAAAATTTACTTTGAATAAATAAATATAACTTTAAGATATATTATAATATATTAAGTACCTATAATATATTACATTATATCTAAAAACTCACGCATTTTAAAGCTAAAATATTTTATTATTTTTCCTTAAAACCTACATTCAACATTAAGCATTTCATTTAATGAGTTTTTAATTACACAAAGTAGGAATTATTGTTAAATGAATATACCTATTAGAAATATATAAAATGTTATTAAATGCAATGTTTTAACTGATAAATAATAAAAACTATTCTAAATTAAAGGTATATTCAAAGATCTTCACAGTTGACCTTGCGTTACGGTACGTGTTTCTGAGTGCTACGCGCTCACCGCCCCCCATCCCAAGAACGGTTGAGCAGATGAAATAATGTTTTATATAAAATTTGTCGCAAATTTTATGCTCTATAATTTTTGTAACAGATGTTAACATCATTGGTGTAATAGAAAATAAGATAATCGCGGAAAAACTGTTTTATTTTTACTTTTGACCTAGAATAACTTATAACGCAGACACGAGATTTTATGAGATTTTTGAGACAACTCTTAGAACTTCATAATGAAGGTATACACGAAAGTTCAGCTTACTATCTCTCATTCCAAGGTTTACCCGTTTTTACGCTAAAGTGACTGGACTACTGTACTATCACTGAGATAAAAGACGTATGTAGCGTATAATATTTAAACGTAAAGTAGTTGGGTTTTTAGAAATGAGGCGTATATCCCAGTGCAGCATCTATCCCGGTTTTATCCTGTACGTTCCGTGTGAGATTCTAACTGGAGGCCCATAGCGCTGCAGTCAAGTGCTTAGCCCCTACGCTACCGAGCCGACGAATTAATGAATATTTTTTAGAACAATCTACTCCATTCTTTATTTAACCGTGGTTAGTTCTCAGCAATATGAAATCTATCAACGCAAATTTTAGTTAACTTTTGAACGAACTGAGTTTCTTTTGTAGTCTGATTTGTAGATTAGGACACTGACCTCCATATTATAATGTATGTAAATGAGTTTGAAATAATGATTTCTTAATTAAAATATTATTTTTATTCGTATGATGTGTTTTTGTAATAAAATTTTGTGTACACGTCCTCGTATTTTAATATCAAAACACTCAATAAGAATAAAAATATGCTTATTTACCTCACCGACGCATCCTTAGTTTTTCTTTTCCTTGTATCTAATAAGTAAAACTTGAACTCGTTAAAGTAAACCTTGATTCATAATGAAAATATACTATATGTAATGATATTTAATTATGACTAAATAACAAGTTTCATATAATCAAGTTATTAGATTCCAACCATTACCCTATTAATAGGTATTTAATGAACTACCTGTGAAATTTCCGTTCTGTATTACTGAACATATCAAATCAAAATAGCTTTTGTTTAGTAAGAACTCTAATTTCAAATTAATTTTAGTTTGAAAACGTGGAATTCGTTTTTTTTTTCAAATGAGTCATTTGTTTATTGATTAGCGTTATGTTTCATTGCATATGAATAATTTTCGTTATCATGAATACGTTAAAAATTCCAGTTATTATATGAGTACCGTCGTAGCAGTAAAGCAGCACACGGTTACGAAGCGAATACTACAAACAAACGCACCACCTGTTATTGGTTTATCCGCTTCCGTTCTGCAAAATTCGACTTGAAAAATTATCCCCGTGACTAATTAAAAGCAACTGTGGAAGCTGATATCAATCAATGGCTGAATTAGCAGCAAAACCAATATTGGTCCATTTGCGTCAAATTGGAAAGGTAAAAAAGCTTGACAAATGCATGTCCCACGAACTCAATGATTAAACGCACGAAGTACTCGTTGAGACGTGCCATGCACTGCTCAACAGGCACACATACGAAGGAATTTTGAACCGCATTGTAACCTGCGAAACATGAATTTTGTTTGACAATCACAAGCACTCAGCAAATTGTGTGGATCCTGGTCAGCACCTAAACAATGCTCTAAACGAAAGCTTACCCTTAGAAAATCGATGGTCACTGTTTGGCGGTCTAGCGCCGGTGTGATTCATCACAGTTTCTCACCAAACGGGGTGAGCATTACTATAGATGCCTACTGTGAAGAACTTAACACATTTACGGAGAAGCCCGCACGTCTTCAACTAGCTTTGGTCAATCGCTCGTCCCCGCTGCTCCTGCACGACAACGCGCGACCTCATCCTGAACAACAGATTGTCTCCAAGTTACAAGAGCCCGGGTTGGAAGCTCTTCGTCATCCGCCGTACTCACCAGACCTTGCGCCTACAGACTTCTACTTTTTTAGAAAATGAATAACTTTGTGGGAGGGGGGGGGGAATTCAATACCCGAAAGGTTACAGGAGTACAAAATTCCATTGAAGAATTTGTTTCTCCCGTCCAGCTGATTACTTCAAGAAGTACATCAATAAACTGCCACTGCGATGGCAAAGATGGCGATTGCATGGGTGATTACTTTGAATAATAGAAATAAAAAATATAAAAAATACGTTAATTATTTCATAAAAACACGTCAGTTTCATAAGTACGAGTAAAGACCTAATATTTTAAATTATTTTAATACATAAAATATTAAATCAAAACGTAGTCATTATAAAAACTCACTGAAAAGAAAAGTGCCAAAGCTGTGAGACGTTTGAAAATAGCGACAAATCTTCAAAAAATAAGTCCATTATTGAACCTCAATTATAACTAATGACGAAGATATATAATTAATAAATATATTACAAGCATTCCATTGATGGCTATATAATATTATATATATATATATATATATATATGTGTGTATATATGTATTATCGTCTATGTGAGACATTATAATAGATAATAATGAATAAGTTTAAAAGTCTATTTGAGTGTTTATACCTCTAACTTACCAAAAAAACATTATTTCTTTTAATCGTAATAATATGATGTCATAATATGCGACGAAATTATACGTAACCGGTTATTTTTCTACAAAACACTTAGACAGCGACAGAAGTGCACTGATCTTAAAGCGGTATAAATAGGGCTTCGTGAACAGGTATCATCATCATTGTTAAAGGAAACTTGCCAACATGAATACTGTAAGTCATCATACTCTCATTATTTACGTTATATTTATAGTTACATTCTTGGAACTGTTTTATTTTTAAAAACGAAGAAAATATATACATTAAAAATTATATTTTTTTATATTATTACTTTTTTTAAATATATAGGGGAAGATAATAATTACTATAAACATTATAATTTTGTATAATATTATTACTATATTTCATATAAGGTGATAAAATATATACGGTGGTAAAAGAGCACGCAGTCCATCTGAGGTTAAGTGAATAATGTGATCCATAGACATCTATTATCAATTAAGAATTAAACTGCGTGTATCATCCCTGAGAAATAAGAAGGAACGCCTCGCTACCAAATTAAATGTCTCCGGTTCTCTTCACTCACCATATAACATTGCTGCTATTTCACGCTAATATTTTTATTAGTGTTTAAGACAACCTATTCGTGCTGCAAAAATAATAGAGAGTAGCGTAACTCAAACAGTAAAAAGTTATTGACGTTAGTTACACTAAACATATTTCGTGTTTGTTTTTAGATATTCATTAAACTGTTTTACTTACAGATCCTATGTTTTGCTCTTTTGGTGTGTGTATGCTTGGCATATGCACTGGCGCTACCGTACCCGAGTGAAATAATGGCTCAAGCAGAAGGCCTACAAGCGGAAGAATCCAGACATAGAGGTTGGGGCGGAAACAGTTGGGGTCGCGGTGGAGGTGGATATGGACACGGCGGCGGCTGGGGACAAGGAGGAGGCTATGGCCGCGGCGGTGGTTGGGGACACGGCGGTGGTTGGGGGCGTGGATAGGGACGCGGCTGAATAACAAACACTACCTGGACTAATTGTATACATTTGTGCCATTCAAAATGGAATTCGCTTTTATCTGTCATTTTTCTTATTATGTGATTTAAATTTGATTAAACACTAATATTACTTTAATATGTCGGATTTCATTACCTCTATCTTATTTAGTGTAAAATATTATTCAGTGTCATAAGAGCACCTGCTTCCCAGACAAAGGGAAATTAATCAGGATATGTAGCAGCATCAGTTAACAACTCAATATGATAAAAATTTCGGTTGCCAATCCGCCAATCAAGCGTGGCAACTAACACATATATTCTGTTTATTTGGAAATCTATGTGGAATGCAAATATTTAGCAGTAGACTATTGATAGACTGTAATGATGACGAAAATGAGTTCTACTTAACTTCGCTATCCTTAATATATACGGTAGAATGATAACATTTTCTTACGTGGTAGAGTTACGCTACAGCTACATTTGGTAGTAGCACAAATGGGTCGGCTCGACCGGGGAGGACCACACTCTCACAGAATACCAGCGTAAAATAGCAGCTTAATACCGCTGTGTTTCGTATGGTGAGTATAGAGATCCGGAGACCCTTTTTTTGCTGGAAGCGAGGCATTCCATGTTAGTTCTCAGGGGGTAACAACGCATCTACGTTTTGGTTCTTAATCGAGGATAAATGTGGATATCTATGGGCTACAGCATCCACTTACCATCAGGTGAACTGTGAGCTCATTTGTCACCCTTATTCTATTAAAAAAATTTTTCATTTTCAAAAATATGAATTGAATATAGTAGCAGTCTAGATACAGAATGACCGACTTCTCCTTTTTAAAATATTTTCTGAATCGATTTTTTTTATTTATCAGATTTGTTTCCTTGCGATGTTTTTTTTACAGGCTGGAGGGGCTGTTGAGTAAATGTACTGTGTACAAAGGAAACAAATTATACTAAAATACAGGTATAATAAAATTCTTAATTAGACGTATTTAAATTACATAGTACGTAAGCAATTCATATTCGATCAACGCCGACACCACACATCATGCATCGACCACGTTTTCGGCGGTGGAGAAAAAAAACATCGCGAGGAAACCTGCATATCTTAGTATATGTGAGTGTGTGAGATATATCTATGTTATATATATATATATATATATATATATATAAGTTCACTTGCAGATAGCTGATGTTATAAGGGGTAACTTATAGGGTTCTGCGCAAAAATATTTCACGCAGGCGAAGTCGTGGGAAACAGCTAGGTTATAATATATAACCTTAATATGTTTGTAAATACGAAAGCTATCTTAATAAATGATAAACGGTTTAATAAAAATCATTAAAAGTAATACAGTGTAGCCGCAGTTTACAAACGTCTCACGATTCCGCAGAGGCCTCCTTATTACTTACGTACCTAATTGGTGGGCAGAAAATAGTCCGCTGCAATAATCCTTGCCGTGGTAGCTAAGGGTCCAAAAGCTTGCTGTAAATTTCAAAGTGCGAGCAACCTAGATGTGATCCCTGCCGGCAGTAATGAAATTGTTAATTGCAATTTTAATTGCTGAATTACCACGTGCTCGGTGGTGAAAGAAAACATGAATCGAACAAAAAAAATATTTTGCACGTTTCAATTGAAGTTCGCCAACTCGCATTGGGCAGCGCGTCGGATATTATCTTCCCCAAAACCCTTTCAGAAAGGAGAAGAGGCCTCAGCCTAGCAGTGCGACGTATACAGGCTCGTTCACATTTCCACGAATTTTCGTAACTACTTAGAAATCTAGGTTTCCCCACGAAGTTATTCTTCACCCCTTCACCGTCAAACACGTGCTAAATGAACACAGAATTTCCTATAACACTTTCACTGGTCTTCGCGGGAATGGTATTCGTTCTGCTCCCATATCGTGGTATCTTACGACGAGCTTCCACACAATTGTAGACCACAAACACCCAGTTATTAAATATAACGCGCAATTAAAGCAAACATAATATCTACACTATCATAATTGCCAGACGAATTTGTGGTCATAGTACGCTGACTTGGACGTTACTCTTAAACTTTTTTTAATGGTTATATTTAAAGTGTAATACTGAAGTTATTAGCATCGATTGAACCTATCATTATTCTAAAGTTAAGGAATATATTAAAGTAAATTGCGTCTTTATTTCATATGTTCCATATACATTGGCATCACTCTCGACGCAAAGCTTCAGTGAGCCCCCATACATCCAAACTAGCAACCAGACTAAGCTCTGCAGCCTATGCTGTAAAAAAGATAAGAGATCTCACTTGTGTTGAAACAGCTAGATTACTTTATTTCAGCTATTTCCATAACGTCTTATGGGATTTTGCTACGGAGAAATGCGGCTGATTTAGAAACTATTTGTATTTTGGAGAAGAGTTTACAACCTAAAGCCGAGTCTGTTAGGGAAAAAATTAAAGAGATAAATATATAAATTTTGGCCCTTCGGCATATTAACGAACAAAGGTAGTTTTAGTAAAAAAAAAACACAACCTAGTGATACCAGTTTCTCGACTCCACAGAGTCAGTAATTTATTTTTGGGCAATGTATACGCTATTACAAATAAGCATAAATATACAAAGTCTCTCTATTACCAAGTTTAAATATTTAATTAAACAAAAACCAAGCAATACTTTAACAGTTCCATCACCAGCTCGTGATTGCTTCTGGTCCCATCAGACTGATACACGGCCAGGACTGCGTTCTCAGAGAGCACGTTGATGTTGTTCTTGATTGCGGTGTCGTACACCCTGCTGGGGTACTGACCGTGGATCCTTGAGGTGGACAAGAAATATATTTACTAGTAGCTTTTACTTTTTCGGAGTGTTTCTTTATGAGGTCACTAGTTGTTTTTAGTGTGCTATTTGTTGGGTCGTTTTTAACCTTTTTATAAGTACTTACATCCGACAAAAGTTCTTGTATTTTAGAATTATAATCTGACGTATCCATGACTACCGTGGCGTTTCCCTTATCTGCGCGGAGAATCGTAAGTTCTGGTTTATTGCGTAGGTTCTTTAACGCTATAAATTCGTCTTTGGGAAGAATAAAGAGTGTTATTATAATATAGATGAAGATATGGTTGATAATAATCCTTCAGAATAAGGTGGTCGCTTCTAAGCTGTTTCTAAAATAAATTTTGTAAATAGTTTGTAACCATTCATATTGTGTTTTCTTTTTAAAGTCCCGTTGTGTTTCTTGCTAGTTATTCTCAAGACAAAGGTTTTTTTTTCAAACCAATGGTAACGTAAAAAATGAGTTTCAATGAAAATAATATCTAAAATATAAAATATAATATAAATATAAAATATCTAGATATATAGAATTTAAAAAAAAAATTCTATTAATGCGAACTTTAATTTTTCTTGTTTGAGATTTTTGCCAATTTTGAAAGGTCACAATTTATGATCTACAATTGCACGCCGCAGGACTTACCTGACTACAATACAGCTCGTATTGAAGTAGTGATTGAGGGAAACCAAGATCCCGAAGCCTTTGCTTGAGTTCGGTCAGCTAAAATATGCAACTGCTGTAGTGGACAACAGACTGCGGCATCGTCATTTCTAGACACCTGAGAATTATAGTGAGATTGAGAGGTTCTCATCATCTGCACACATCGTTGTTGTAGCTTATCTATTTGGAGTTTATCTACGTGATAGATTTAGTAATGATAACCACCGCAGCAGAAATAGAGTAACCGGCATAGCCAACGTATTAATAAGCAAATGTGGCAATAACTCGGCCATATAACTCAAAGAACCGAGAGGCGATGGGTGAAAAAATTTTTCAAGTCTCGATAATGGTAAGCGAAGTATAAAGCTGTCCCCCACTAGATTGAAGTGTCGACATGACGAGAGATGCAGGAAGTCGACGAATGCAGGCGGCTCAAGAGGAGAAAATGTAGATTTATTACATAGTTTTAATAGCGTCAAATTTGCTGTTGTATGTATATATAAACTGGATTTTAGAATTCAAGGCCAAGTATAATCAACTGTGTTTTTTTTTTCATAAAACTTGAAGATAAAATCAAGTTCAAAACAATGAACATAGTTGAAATACGCATAAAATTCACACTATATGTTTTTGTTCTTGTTAAAGCTCAAATCGTTTTTAATACAGACTAATTAACAAACAACTGAATTGGTTGTATTGCTTGTACATTATAATATAATATTCTGATGGCCGAGAATGCACTGTATCAAATAGATAGTCGCCTCCACCTGTGATTCGAATTAGTGAAGCAGAAAATGAAAATGACCAAATTAATGGAGATAACTGCCGCATCTTCAGTGTCTACAGTATTTATAGTTGGTTTACCACTTTTGCAAAGTGCCCTTTCTTTGAAAATAATTGACATATTGCATAAAAAATTTAAGAGTTGATGTAGACTTTTACTACCACAAAAAAAAACATCGCTTACGTTGATTTATTTTATTTTGTTGCTGCAGTCACTATGCTATAATTCTCCGTGTTTCTTTCTGGCTGTTCGTTATACAATAAAACAGGTTGCAACCACACTGCTCACTAGACTGGTTCTAGTTATGCAGCTGAATCGAGATCCTGCAAAAATGCCGAATTGTTTTGTTTGTTGCTGCAAAAAGAGATCTGTTATGTCCAATTTACAAAAAGATGGCGTTATTTCGCTTATATAAGTAATTTTAAATCAAATCGTTGCTATTTACTTCATTTTAAATTTAAAAATTACAATAATTACAATACAGGTCGTGTTTTTTCGAATTTGTTTACCAAAACAGGCTGCTCGTTCTCAAAGAATATTATACAGATCAGTCGGGCTACTGATCCGAGTCTGTATTTGAGTTGACGCTCTCACCGAGCGATACTGTTATAAATTATAATTTATCTATCTTTGTATGAAGTTATTAGTTTATTTTTTAATTTTTGTTATGTTTTAGTTTTGTTGTATCAGTCAGTTGTTTCTGTGTGCGCAACATCACATACATCGAGAAAACACGTTATTAA